AGTAGTGCTCTAGTGCTCTAGTGCCGGCTGTAGTGTCACCTGGTGCAGTGTTCACATTTACTCTTCTGCCTTGACAGTTGAGTTTTTGCTGTTACCTATTTGCTATTTGAGTATGTGTAATTCTAAATTTCTGTGTGTGTGTGTGTGTGTGTGTGTGTGTGTGTGTGTGTGTGTGTGCGCGTACGCGTGTGGGTGTGTGTGCGCGCACGCGTGTGGGTGTATGCGTGCATGTATGCATTCATTCGTGTGTACATGTGTATCTGTGTTTTGTATGTGTGTGCTTGGGCATGTCTGGGTATTTGATGCATGCAGTGTGCACGCTTGACAATGTGTATTTTGCACCCACTGAAGTCTGCCAAGGATCGCTGCTTTTTCTTTGATCAGTTGGCTGCCATCAAGCCACTGAGTACATTCTTTCAGCAACTGCTGTCCACTCCTCTATCACACAAGGTTTGAATTAGGATAAAATATCTATTCATGTCATTCATGTTGTAATGTAGTATTGAATGCCATCCAGCCTCAGAAGTCAGTGCTGGGTGTTGTACAGCCGCCTTAGACCTACGGGCACTGGCTTGGGTGTTAGTGTAATTGGAAGCTAAAGTTGGTTATGATCGGCATGATCACAGCAAAAATACATATTTATTCTCTGCGGAGCCTGGATTGAATTGGCTCAATTTGGTGAGTGAGTAAACGTGACTCTTCACGTGTGTTTCAACCAATTAGTTTTTACTTGATACTGCTACAACAGGTGTCTAGGCCTTTCTGTGTATTATGCAGAAAGGTCTAGACACCTGTTGTAGCACCTGTATACTATTTGCACCTTCATGATGAGCCAGGCCCAACAATTTTGTGAACATTTTTTCTTTCTTTTTAAAAGGTAACATACTGGATATAATACATCATGTACCATGCTGTGGCTGGGGAAATGCTGTCGTTGTTCTTTCCTTTCATGGTTATGTCATGTCATGGATTTCATATGGCTGCTGATCGTTTGCTAGGCCAAAAAAAGCTAACACACACATTCTCTCTCTCTCCCCCTCTCTCTCTCTCTCTCTCTCTCTCTCTCTCTCTCTCTCTCTCTCTCTCTCTCTCTCTCTCTCTCTCTCTCTCTCTCTCTCTCTCTCTCTCTCTCTCTCTCTCTCTCTCCCTCCCTCCCTCCCTCCCTCCCTCCCTCCCCCCCCTCTCTCTCTCTCTCAAGCAAAGTCCCAACAGATTGTGGGAACCAACCAAAGGATCAGACTAGCTGTGTAAAGTGTAGTTGAGGTGTGCTAAAACTTATTTCCACTGCCTGGCACTCTGCAATATAGGTACTGCGAAGGCTGAACTGATAGGGGACAAGAACAAGTGCTACAAACTTCACTTTTGCTCATCATCTTGTCACATGTGGATGGAAATTGTCTTTGCAATGGCTCTACTAAGTTTACAAGTATTTTTTCTTGTTCATGTCTCTCCTATTGCCTTTACTCTTGTGCTTGTTCAGTTTGTTGGCCGTGTCATCTTGTACACACGTCAACTCTTACGCCACCATGGGAATGAGCTGGGGAAAGAGCAAGAGGAGTGCGCGTATGCCGTACTACGCATGTCACTTGACACTGGCTATAGCCTTCTGCCAAGTGTTGTCAAAGTAGAAGATCTGCTGAAGAAGTCAGTCGGTTCTCTCTATCAACCGTTGGTTATCATGGCACAGGTATGTGTACTCTATGCGCTATACTAGTAGCCTACTACAGAATCATACTACTGCATGGAAGTGTGTTCTTTGTTACTATGTACATGTATGGTAAACCTACTTTGTGCTGAAGTCCAACGCCGTTTCTCTTTGTAGTGGTGTTAGTATGTGCATTAAGCCTTGTTCCTGGATGCAGAAAGCAATAAGCCTTGTTCCTCGATCCAGAACATCTACAATGTGGAGGTTCACATATAGTTTTCCACTGAAGATCTTTATGCTTTTACTGAAAACTACTGTGCTAAGTATTTGTTGATTTACAGTATTTCGGCAGGTAGACAGTGTGTGTGTGTGTGTGTGTGTGTGTGTGTGTGTGTATGTGTATGTGCGTGCGTGTGTGTGTGTGTGTGTGTGTGTGTGTGTGCGTGTGTGCATGCGTGTGTGCATGCGTGTGTATGTGTGTGTATTTATCATTGCCCACTAGCAGCTATGTATGCAGTAGTTTGCGCACCACTATGCTGATATGAATTATGACTTTCGCCGTGTGGAAAGTTTCAATGAACTGTTCATAATTATTGAGATTTTCCATTTGAACTACAGTGTATAATATGTTACTACAAGGCTGTGATGCTGAACAGGTCTGCATGCTACATGCAACAATATTGCAGGTCACTCACTGCTGCTTTGTCAATGTGTTCCATGACGTATGTAATTACAAGTACATGTAGTACTGTAGTTTCACAGCAGGGCCGGAGGCTGCTTCCGCAGAGCGGTGCGACCGAAGGGCCATCTTTAAGGGTGGTCTGGGGGTCCTCACCCAGAAAAATTTTGGAATTTAGAAGGCAAATCCTGCACTCTGGGCGACTCCCTGTACAAAATCATACATCGAAACTTTTTCTCCCCGGTTTTGGACGTTCCACGTGGACCGACTTTTTGGGAAGTTGGTACGGCCATGGCCGTACCGGCCGTACCAGTGGCGCCGGCCCTGCACAGGTACTCAATATCGATTTGGTCTTCTCACTTTTGTTATTGTTGCTAGACTGAACGTCAATGGCGTCATCAGGAGCGTCAAATTCAAGACCGATGGTGGGACACTCATTGCACTGTGCTCCTGCAGTAAGTACGACCTAATGGTATGTATGGGTACAGGGACGGATACGGGTACAGGTATGGGTACAGGGACGGATACAGGGACAGGTATGGGTACAGGGACAGGTATGGGTACAGGGACAGGTATGGGTACAGGGACAGGTATGGGTACAGGGACAGGTATGGGTACCGAGACGGATACGGGTACAGGGGCATGTATGGGTACAGTGACGGATATGGGTACAGGGACAGGTATGGGTACAGGGACGGTTACGGGTACAGGGACGGATATGGGTACAGTGACGGATACAGGGACAGGTATGGGTACAGGGGGGATATGGGTACAGGGACGGATACGGGACCGGTATGGGTACAGGGACAGGTATGGGTACAGGGACGGATACGGATACAGGGACAGGTATGGGTACAGGGACGGATACAGGGACAGGCATGGGTACAGGAACAGGTATGGGTATAGGAACGGATATGGGTGTGTTTGCGTGTGTGCGTGCATGTATATCTGATGCGTTTCTGACCTTATCCACTATGGTGGCAGACTACGGGCACAGAGCCGTCAGCTGCATGAATCTATCAACTCATCAAGTCGTCTTGCACAAGATCGGGTCTTTTCACGGCAGCGGCGAGTTGAGTGGTTTCTCTTGGATGCTACCAAAGCATCGTTTGACCAACTTCACCGCACAGTGACATTATGGAGACATCTTGTCAATGTCTTCTGCCATACCCGGTAAGTACTAACATGTTTGTACATTGTGGCATGCACTGGCAACAGGGATTTCTATTTACTATATCAAGGGTAAGGCATCAAGTAGCCATTGTTCAGTGCCCTGATAGGTACACATATTGTCTAGCTTGTTGAATTGCTTTGTTTGTATTGGCCTCCAGTAGTTCCTCAGGTGACACAGACACTCCATGTTAACAACAGTGCTACAGTGCTGCAGTGCTACAGCGCTACAGTGCTGCAGCGCTACAGTGCTGCAGCGCTACAGTGCTGCAGTGCTACAGTGCTGCAGTGCTACAGTGCTACAGTGCTACAGCGCTACAGTGCTACAGCGCTACAGTGCTACAGTGCTGCAGTGCTACAGCGCTACAGTGCTACAGTGCTACAACGCTACAGTGCTACAGCGCTGCAGTGCTGCAGTGCTACAGCGCTGCAGTGCTGCAGTGCTACAGTGCTCCAGCGCTACAGTGCTACAGCGCTGCAGCGCTACAGTGCTGCAGCGCTGCAGTGCTACAGTGCTACAGTGCTACAGCGCTACAGTGCATTGTAATGAAGTGTCACATGCCACTCTAGTAGTTACCGGTTTGATAAAATTTAAAAATTTAAAATTGCATGGTTTGCCTGAGACTAGGTTAGACCGCGTTTTCCGCATCCGTACAGTAGGAACGCCACCGCCCTCAAGGATCAAGGCACAGTCGCAACTTCTAAATCGGTGGGAGATGAGTAGATCAGACCCACCACCAAAGTGGTCAAAGACCGAAAAATCCCATTCAATGCATCCATGTTTCCCACGTGCCGGTCCACGAGTTCCCAATTAACTGTGGGTTGCAGCACGGCTGGGAAAATCCTTCCGCTTCCAAGCATGACTTGACCTGATACCCTCTATTCTCAATAATGGTCTTAGACTATCCCATTATATCTGCCTGTGGTTGTGATGTGGATACTATTTTGATAATAGGGATTGATATGTATTATGTGATGTGTATCTAGGGTTTGCCGGGTGTTAGCGGCCGTCGTGAGTTTCCTTCGGGACCGGACACGATAATCTACTCTGTTCATGTATCTGAATGCACAAGTATATGTCCACTTTTCATGCTACTAATGTGTCAATATGTAGAGGTGTGTGGAACACTGCTATCAGCTGGCCTGTCAGTTGGCAAATTGACCCCACAGAAGCTCCAAATCGAACACGACTGAGACTACAACCATGCTATTTTGACATGGACAGCCGCTTTCTGCTACCAGAGCGACGGAAACAGAGGCAAGGTAGGTTTTCTTCCCTTTGCTATGTATCTACAATCTTGAACAAATAAGTGTGCACAATTGCATGTTAAAGGTTAATAAAGCCTTGTGTACGGGCAATAAAATTCTCCAGATAATCATACAAACTGACGTATAGAAGCGCTTAATTAAGCGTAGACTACCCAAAATGTATAGAAAATCAATTTAAGTAAACCAATTGGGAGCACGAAATGAAGAAAAAAACATTCAGGCAAAGGAGGCAGCAGAACTATTAGCGTGCTGTATGTTGAAGGTTACTAGTAGTGCTTAGCTTTACTTATTGTGCTTAGTGTACTCAGTGTACTCAGCCTACTCCGCTTTTTAGTTTGAGGAGGTTCAATATACCGTAAAGTACCGCCAGAGCGCCCCGTCTCGCGAGAGCGCCCCACCTTGATTTTACAGCCATTGGAAAAAAAATCGTATGGAAGAGTGCTACTATAGTCTGTTTCAAAAAGATTTACAATCAGGTTTGGGTCTTAAAAAGTATGAAGATAAGGGAAATTTGGACAACAAAGTACATAGAATGGCTTGTTAGGACACGGCAAATTGTTCTGTGAAGGTTTCGGAACAATTGAACCAACCGTTAAGGAGTTAGAATTTCGGCCAGGTTTCCGGCCTTTTCCCATGGTTTACAATTTGCCCAGGAAGCCAGTATCGATTTTTTATCAAAACCCACGATTTATCCTTTCCTTTTTGGCCTTGTGGTTATGAATGCTGTCTGCTGACCATGAAGTTGTGAGTTCAAATCCCAACCTATCCTCAAGTCAAACTTTTTTTTCATTGTTTTGGTGATCAAGCTGGTACAAGACAAAGAAGATGGCTGCACCAAACGACTTGTTGTTGGAGCTCGCGCTTCCTGCCGAACTGACTGACACTTGACTGGCTCACGCCATGTGAACACACCCACAACACTGCAATGGTGTGAGTGAATTATAATGGAAGTCATCGCGCTGTAGCTTTTTGAGATTTATTTTAGTATTTCAAGATCGCCAATTTATTTGAATTTTAGCAGTCAACGCCGTCTTCTATCAGCGTTCACAAGCGTCTGCTTTTCTCAAAATGTCGTCGAAGTCACACGGATAGCTTTGCCAAGTCATGGCCAGTGGGAGTATGTCCGTGTCGATGTCGTCACACGGTGAGTAAATTGCATCGCAGCTCAAAGAAACTATTTTGGTCACAAAACGAATTGGGACCCATGCAGCTCGTCAACATTTACAACACTTTCGTTTCGACATGTCCTCCGACTCCATTATCGATACGAGGAAGAACTCGTTTGTTGTAAACCAGACGTACATGACAGTATCAACGTGAGTGAGTTGTCATTTTTCCTGCTTTCGCGCGGAATATTTCTTCGAGTTCACGGTGAGTTTTTCCAGGCAGCGCTCGAGTGCTCATACGGTAAGACGCCAAACTCTGCGGGCGATCGCCAGGATTGTAAATCTTTTTGAAACGGACTGTAAGTTTGTACGGTGTGAGAACTTTAGTGTACTAAGGTCACACGTGACATGTTCTTATGTGGAGCTCGCATCCCCTCGAAGGTAAACTGGGTATGGATTGACTGCACAACGTGCATTGTTTGTACAAGGTTCGTGTCGTATGACCTACAGACAGGAAACCACCTCCACAAGACGACCACGAAAGGACGAGATGGTGGGGCGCTCTGGCGGTACTTTACGGTACTTGTACACTCAATTCTCTCTCTGTATGTGTGTGCGTGCGTGCGTTTGTCTGTGTCTGTTTGTCTGTGTCTGTGTCTGCGCACATGTATTCGTGCATGTTTCTGCATTTGTTATGCTAGCCATTCATCCATGTCACAATGAGTTGTCATACCTGTTTACCAGCCAACACAGTCTCTTGTTAGAGCCAGGTTTGGCCAATCGAGGGCTGCTGGATTCAGGTGAAGTCATCAAGTAAGTCCCTCCCCCTCCCCCCCCCCCCCTCCCCTCCCCCTGCAACTCATTTCAGTAGTGTGTGTGTGTGTGTGTGTGTGTGTGTGTGTGTGTGTGTGTGTGTGTGTGTGTGTGTGTCCCATATGGTGCAGTGGTATGTGCAGCGATTTCCAATCGATAGGTTGCGGGTTTGATTCCCGACGATTATGGTCACAGTCTTTCTTCTCTTTCTCAGACTCTTCCTGACTTTTCTTTCATTCTCCTGGGTGGTTACCAACAGCCAGTGCATGCCGGAGTATGTGGTGTGATGTGTGTGCGGGAAAAAATGAAAAACCAAAAATAGGGATTCACTGGCCAGAAAAAGTCACTTCAAATAGCTGTATGGTGTAGACCAGGCTGAATAGTGACGGTCAATTCTTCAGCCTTGCAAGCTGTTGAATGGTGCAATCCCAGCACAAGTTGCGATGGCTTCTGCCATAGCATTCCTATCATCGCCTCCGGCGATGGGCGTCAAAAGGTCAAAGGTGTGTGTGTGTGTGGCACAGATCTTTGTGACCTTTGCTGAAGACTAGATACGGTTTCCGTGTGCCTACCATATCGAGGTGACTTAACATGACTTTCCCTGCATGTCATCATTGGTCAATATTTGAGATGTTTTGTATTGAGTGGCATCACAGGTACTTGATTATCGTTCAATACACGGCAAGTATTTGTTTGCCGCACAATACACAACACATATTTGATTGCTGCTCAATACAAGACCAGAAGGCATTGTAATGCTCATAACCACTTGTTCTATATCCAAAGAACTTTATTGAAAATCCATGATAACGTGATCGGAAAGATGATAAGAAAATCCAAAGTCAACACAGGCAATTGTTAGCAGTCACTACTATCAAAGCAGATCATTATTTGCCATATCGCACCTTGGAAACCTGGCTAAAACCACTTGTTTTGGTATACTGGTGCTTTGCAAACATTCTATTCTCTCACAAGGTACATGTACTAGTGTCCAACTGTAGGATTACTTCCTGTAATATGCATGTGTGTGTGTGTGTGTGTGTGTGTGTGTGTGTGTGTGTGTGTGTGTGTGTGTGTGTGTGTGTGTGTGTGTGTGTGTGTGTGTGTGTGTGTGTGTGTGTGTGTGTGTGTGTGTGTGTGTATGTGTATGTGTATGTGTGCCCAATTGTGTGTGTGTCCAATTGTGTGTGGGTGTATGTGTGTATATTTCTGTGTGCACATTGTGATTGGTGTGCGTGATGTTTAGAGCTAACTTGCCATGCACCAGTGTCACGCCTGGACATACAGCCGTTGGAGAGATTCTTATTGGTGAGAAATGTTACGGACTGTTTTTCTTCTTTCTGGTAGAAAGAGAATGTGTGCGTGTGTGTGTGGGGGGGGGGGGGGCACTCTTACCAGACTAGCTGCTTCAAAGTAGACATAATTGTCCAACTGTGTCTCCTGGAAAATTATTTGAGTATTGGAATGTTTGGTGTAATTAATTGGTTCACCCCACTGAGCTGCATATTTTGGTTTTCTTGTGCTCTTGTATATTGTAGGGAGTGACAATGTGTACTTTGTTGGCGAAGAATCCCGTAAAGATGCCAATCTTTCTGCCGTAAGTTTAACTTGTCTGTCTTGCAGATCATGCTCCTGTTTACTTTGATCTCATATTGCTTACTGTAAGTCTACCAATTTTCGGCTCATTCTTATTTCGGCCTCCCAGGGCTAAAACACATTTCGGCCTCCCATGGCTAAAACACATTTCGGCCTCCCAGGGCTAACACATTTCGGCCTCCCATGGCTAAAACACATTTCGGCCTCCCAGGGCTTAAACACATTTCGGCCTCCCATGGCTAAAACACATTTCGGCCTCCCATGGCTAAAACACATTTCGGCCTCCCAGGGCTAAAACACATTTTGGCCACATTAAATTTTCGGCCTGTACCGTTGCTGCCGGTATACTCTGTCACAATGAACCTTGCAAGACAATATTTTGGCTTCAACAAATTTTCGGCCAAATATGACCAGGTCGAAAATAGCTGAACATTAATGCTTGCAAGTATGCGCCAAATATTTGTTGACTGACAGTATTCACAACAACACACTGTCCCCTTTGTCTCATATTGCTCATCCACAACAATACTCCATCCGCAGTCCAACACATACTCTTACCGTGTACATGTACATTCACTGTTGACGCTGGCCTTCCACTGGCCGCTACTCGCCACTTGCGAAAGTACTAGTATTCGCTAGGCAACTCACGGGGGAAGTTGATCACACACATTGAAGGATATTGATAGTTAAACTACCACTGTGCCGCGCTCTCCATTTGCATCACATGTTGTTTTTGTTTGTAGATTTTGCAAGGTAGCTCAGAGCAGTGTCATATGTGGCCGTATGCAGATATCTTGGAAATTCTTTGTCGCCGGTACAACCTCAAGGTAGTTTTTCTGTGATTCTTTCTTGCCTGCATCTTGTTTAATATGGCCTTGTAGTAAAAGAACTCTTGTGATGCACTGGATGACTGGAATCTAGAGCGTTTAGTGTTGTTGAATATGTAATACTGTTTCTACTGTAGCATGCATTGAAATTGGTGGAGCTGGGATGTTTGAGCACCTTCAACAGTTTGATTGATATAGTTTGTGGTTTGAGAAAGAATTGTAGCAACAGTTGCCCATTGCTAGCCTGTGTAGCTGCTTCCCTGAATGTTCTCAGTCTGTTGACCCTGTGCTACTGTATTTGAATGTTCTCAGTCTGTTGACCCTTTGCTGCTGTGTTTGAATGTTCTCAGTCTGTTGACCCTGTGCTACTGTATTTGAATGTTCTCAGTCTGTTGACCCTGTGCTACTGTATTTGGATGTTCTCAGTCTGTTGACCCTGTGCTACTGTATTTGAATGTTCTCAGTCTGTTGACCCTGTGCTACTGTATTTGAATGTTCTCAGTCTGTTGACCCTGTGCTACTGTATTTGAATGTTCTCAGTCTGTTGACCCTGTGCTACTGTATTTGAATGTTCTCTTGTTGGATCCTGCTTGGGTTGCTGCTGTCTCATAAAAATTATATTATGGTTTTCTGGCAACGACATCATTGTGCAAGGAATGTACAATGTGGATGAACCACTATAGTACCGTAAAGTACCGTTGATCCGCCCCCTCTCTAATTGCCGCTCCCCGTCGATTTTCTGCCTGTGAAGCGACTTCGGTGTATACAACGAAATACGATGTTGGACCGACGCATGCACTGCTGTACACAATACGTGCGAGTGCAGGATGAAAATGTGCACAATCCAACACATCGAGTCTGAACTTCCACGTTGTTGTACATCGTACTGCACTTGCCAGCCTTGATCCAATTCCCGCCCCCTGCCGAAAATCTAGCTGGGAAGCGACATGGCATGGGGGGGGGGGGGATCAACAGTACTTTACGGTATTACCAGTATGCACGTATTACCAGTATGCACCAGTATGCACGTATTACCAGTATGCACCAGTATGCACGTAGATTGTCATCATACCCGTGTACACATACAGGCACTTGCCAGGAGGTAAGGGGATGGCTTTTATAATTACACTTGTATTGCATGCAACGAAGCCTGCGATGAAGTTCTATAATAACGATGAGATCCAGGTAAGATAAATTCTGTCACTAAAAGTCACGTATTTCAGTTATAAGCAAGATGTTGTAAGATGTTGTGTAGTCAGAAAGTGCAACAGCTAGCACAATACTGACTGATGTGATACTGCCATTCAACCACCTGATGATAAGCTTTCTCACGTCTTGGATGCGCAAACCAACAGCCTTCAAACTTGGAAGGTTCTAAGTTACGAGATAACATGAGAAATTGGAACATGTAACATTTTGGTCCTTTCTTTTTAAATTTAATCCTTGGCTCTCCATCCGAGTATTTTTCTTTACATGGACTTCTCTTGATTCTGTGATAGGACAATGCTATGGAGCTGTTTCTGGCTAGTAACAAAACTGTGCTACTGGCATTCGAGTCTACAACGGTAAGACGAGCGCTACACTGCCATCACATCTGCTCCTTCTCCAAAGTAGATAAACTGCTGCCTTTAAAAATCTTGTCACAGACAATGTCACTGTGTCAGGTGGCAGCAGCAGCAGCAGAGGGAACAGCAGCAGCAGTGGCGGTGGCGACAGTAGCAAGGACAGTGGCAGTAGCAGAGATAGCGTCAATAGCAGCAGTGGCAATAGCAATAGCAGCAGTGGCTCCTGGGCTTTCAACCCCTCTTGTTCCCAATATAATATTTTAGTTTAAAAAAATAGCTTCAGCTCGTAAACACACATAGATACATCGCCCTGCATGCATACCCTCGATACCCTTCGCATACATACACATCCTACCAAGTTGCTTTACGTTATTATCCTGCCCTCGAAAGCCCTATTTGAATATGGTGGCCAGCTAGCTCTCTTTGACGGCACAGTACGGGACACGTACGGGATAGCACCCCAGCCTCCAGGCATGGCGTATCATGTGATGATGGCCCTACCACACACACACACACACGCACACGCGCGCGCGCGCGCACACACACACGCACACACGCACACACACACACACACACACACACACACACACACACACACACACACTGAAATAAAGCGCTGTAGACCCTGGCTAGCGCCAGATGCTACTAAAGTAACGTCTTTACATATATAGCTACGGAAATTAAATGTACTTATGCACTTCAGATGCACATACATGTGTGTATCGATGCACTGATGTTGTGATGCACTGATGCACCGATACACTGATATTCATGTATATCGCTATAGATCTATCCTGTCAAACCCTGTAAGCATGTGAATGTACCTTTCGAAAGCAGCATAGTTTAATCCGTTACAACTTACAAGATACAAGCACTGCTTTGTGGTAGTGTGTGATCGTGCACATGTAGTGCTTTTTTATTTGTAGCAGTGTGTCTCTACTGTGAAAGTAGGGATAACTATTGATTTATCATGATGGTGATGGGCTAAATACTGATTTGTGCTGAGTGTTGCTACTCTTTGAGGCTGATGCAAGCTGAATAGTTGGCTAGTTCTTGATTGCTGCAGCTGTGCTCTTTTGTGCCCTAGGTTCGTGATGAAGCCTTCAAGAAGCTTATCAGTCTGAACTTACCCAATCTCATGGACTACAATGACTCTGTAAAGGGTTCCTTTCTTCGCCAATCCATCAAGCAGCGGTAGGTAATAGTAATCCATTTTCAATCCATCAAGCAGCGGTAGGTAATAGTAATCCATTTTCTCCTTCTTCTTCACTCACACGTCCATTTCAAAGCTGTTTCTGTGCTCCTTGTTTTGGTCTACTGATCAATCAGTAGTTACTTGCATAACAAAATGCCTATCCGTGTTGCATTTTTTGGTTGTGTTTATCGCAAGTAGTTATTGTGCTTGATGTAGTGGTGGTGGCGCTGCTGCTGCTGTGTTTTTGTTTCAAATCTTTATTCTCACGATAGCCAGTGGCCAATAAGTTGTTGTTGTTGTTGTTGTTGTTGTTGTTGTTGTTGTTGTTGTTGTTGTTGTTGTTGTTGTTGTTGTTGTTGTTGTTGTTGTTGTTGTTGTTGTTGTTGTTGTTGTTGTTGCTGTTGGCAGCTGGCAGGAAGGGTACCTGTCTAATTTTGAATATCTCACTCATCTCAACAAGCTGGCTGGACGATCGTTCAATGACCTCATGCAGTATCCGGTCTTTCCGTTTGTGTTGGCTGACTACACAAGTGCTTCTCTTGATCTGACAAATCCTGCAACATTCAGGTTAGCACTTTATTAGATAGTGGCTGCCTGCTATGATGACGTGCTATTAGTAGTAGATGTGATGGTGTATTCCAGTACGTACAATATCGAAACATGCAGCGCGTAAGGTGGGTGCATGCATTCATGCCATCTGTGAATGGTGGATTGCATGAAGAGTACTACCATCACGCAATGCAAACTTTTTCCAGTTTATGGGCTCCCACCACATCTCTTCTCTGAGACTAAAGCAGAACTAGAAGATGTGTAGAGATACTAGTGCACTTGGAAATTTTCAGCAGGCAATTCTGATACACAGAGACTAAATAAGTGATCAGTTTTCCAAAGCAAAGAGACTGTTTTGGGAAAGGGAGAGAAAAAGGAAGAGAAAGAAAGAGAGAGAGAGAGAGAGAGAGAGAGAGAGAGAGAGAGAGAGAAAATAAAGTTTATAAGTCCTGTGTAAAATTTACTGCAGAATGACTGTGTTGGAGCGTACGAACAATTCAAAGTGTGTCTTACTATGGTCATACTGTTTGCATGCAGAGACTTGTCCAAGCCAATTGCAGTCCAAGATGAGAGTAAAGTGCAGAAGTACTGTGAGAAGTATGATGTAAGTACTCATTTTGTGCAGCGGAGTGATTTCTTCTGACAGCATTCAATCTTCACAACTCAACAAGAGATTAGAAATTACCAATGTAGTCTGTGCACTTTCAGTAGCGGCACTTATCGACAGGACTTGCTGGGATGCTTTCTCTTTGAGTGAACAATATTGCTCCCTAAGTGGATGCTGAGTATTTTGTCAAGCTTCTTCACTCATTCTTGTGTCTGTGTGTTGGCCTGTCTCTGTCTTCTAAAGTGTTCCTTTTGTTACGTGATGTGATAATTTATGACGATTTCAAGGAATGAGACTCCGAGTGGAAAATAACCCATTCCTAACCATTGCCTCTGTTATAGACTGAAATGTTCGGTACTGGGTTTGGTTTGACTGAAATGTTCGATACTGGGTTTGGTCTGTTTGTACATGCACCTATGCCAGGTATATGCTTACCGAAACTACCATTGATCCACCCCTCTCTAATTTCCACCCCTGTCAAAGTTCTACCTGTGAAGCGACTTCAGCGTACATGTAATGTTATGCTTTGAAATACGCTGTTGGCCTGACGCATGTACCGCTGTACACAATACGTGCCAGTGCAGGTATGCCTGTGGATGAAAATGTGCACTATCCACCACGCCAAATCTGATCTTTCTCGTTCGTGTACACCGTACTGCACTTGACAGCCTTGGTCAAATTCCCCCGTTGAAAACCAGCAGGGAAGCGACTAAGCGACTAAGCGTTGGCTGCGGCTTGACGGCATTTTACAGCATATTCTGCGTGTATGTGTGCATATTGTGTGTGTATGTGTTTATGCACACACGTACACACACACATACACCAGGGTTCTAGCCAAAGGGGGGTAGGGGGGGCGCAGCGCCCCCCTACTCTGTTTGCGCGCCCCCCCTCCCCCCCCCCTGTGAAAAATTGCCGCCCCCCCCCCCCCCAGGCCTACTCATTTTCCGATTTTCGTGTTTTTCATGCATAGATGGTTCATAAAGGCACATTTGTCTGGGATGAAGTCAGGGATTCGCCCCATATACGTTGCATTTGGCGTGGCAAGACAATATTGGAAAGTGGAAAAATGGGATATAGGGTAACTGTTTCCCATGCCCACCCCCCTACTATTTTGACCTGAGTAGAACCCTGTACACACATTATGTACGTTGGGTTGAAATCTTGAAAATCGGACACCTCTTACTTCCTACATGTAGTACCTTATCCGAAGTACTTTCACTGGGGATTAGAGGGTGAAACAGGTACATGCTGCCGTATCCTGGGACAGATACCCTGGCCTGATGCTGTCGACCGCTGGGTGGTGCAATAACCAAGTGAGCCATCTTTTCAACATTTCCAACATTCTTCCGATTTTCTCTCTCCCTCCTGGTGGAGACCCACATGACCCATGTCCGTGTGTTCATCCGTGTGTGTATGTGTGTGTGTATGTATGTGTGTATGCATGTGTATGTGTGTGCATGTGTGTATGTGTGTATATGTGTGTATGTGTGTCTGTGTGTCTGTGTGTCTATGTGCCTGTTTGTGTGTGTGTGTGTGTGTGTTATGTGTTATGTGTGTTATGTATGGTACATGATACATGGTATGTCTATTGCACAGTACATGGACCACGAGTACCGTAATGTTGATCCATCGGAGCGTATGCATCACTGGACACCCTATCACTATGGCTCTCACTATAGCAATGCTGGCATAGTGCTGCATTTCCTAGTGCGTCTTATGCCATACACCACTCTGTTTCTAGATTTCCAAGGTCAGTACACCTCAATTCTACCTTTAATGCCTTTAATGCTGAGCCATACATGTGCTTGGTTTAGTCTACTTCCAAAACTTCAAACTACTGAATAACGTGTGCCATTGCGAGCGAGATCGAAAAAAATCATATTAGTGCTGGCGTAATAGTTTTTGCCTTCACTCACTCAGTCAATTTATAATGTCGACACTATTACAAATGATTTTTTTGTAAACATTTTATCACTGAAAAGTTAAAACACAATCTCGCACCGGCGCACATTATCACTCTCGACATTGCTAGTCAATATATCAAGGCCAGGTAGCCTGGTAGTACAATGATGCACTACTAATGTTAATGCTTACAAGAAAATATGTTCTCTGTTGTCAGTGCCCAAAATTCTATTACCGAATGTTCATAGCTTTGCTACCTTAGTATTTCTAAGGGAATTGCACATATTAGTGTTAGTCAGAGATGAGAACTCCACACATGTGGTGATGAACAGTTTCTAGTCCTGCCTGTTTGCTGGTTTGCTTTTATGACTCCATGTATTGCTGGTCCTTGGTTGTTGCTTTATTTCGGGCTCCTAGTATTCGCAGGTGTAGGCCTGCACAGCCCTTGGCGTGACAACAAGGCCAGGTCTCATAGAGTATCACTGTGGTCCAATCATGGTTACACGTACACATGCAGTGATCATCTTTCTGATTTATCCTTACTTACCTACATGCACTACAGTATAGACAGTTGTCTACCTTGCGCCATTACTGCACCCATTAATCCCACAGTCCCGAATGGAGTTGGGGTTTTTGCCACCTCATTTTCCTCACCCCTACTGAAGCCTTTGTCATCTCTGCCCCCTTCTCCTGGTATATAATGTTTTAACATAAAAGTGATGAGTAGTCTTGGTTGTACCATCTGATGAGTGTTTTTCCATACACGAGACTCTGAGTAACGGCAAAGAAGGACTTGTTTCCACCAGTTCTGTTTGAGAATTGCACTACATATTGTATATGTATGCCTTGCTTGATAGTTTAACAGGTATGATGATGACAGCATAGCACAAGGTGGAGGACACACTATGATGCTGGAAATCAGTGTTCCTGTTTCTGGTTGCAGTCAGGAACACTGTTTACAGACCGTGTTTTCCTCTGCCTTGTGCTATGCTGTCATCATCACACCTGTTGAACTATAGTATTGTAGTGCATGTAGTGCAGGAATGAACCATTGTGTTCTACATTTTCTGTTGTTCAGATAACAACTTTGACATACCTGACAGGACGTTCCATAACATTCAAACCACCTGGAGATTAGCATCTTCACTTTCCTCTTCTGATGTCAAAGAGCTTATTCCAGAGTTCTTCTATTTACCTGAGTTTCTACTAAACAACGAAGGTGTGTTGTTATTATTATTATTATTATTGCCGCTGTCCCCGCCGCTTCCACCTCCTCCACCGCTGCTGCTGTTCTGCTGCTGCTGCCGCCGCCGCTGTTGCTGCTGCTGCCCCTGCTGCTGCTGCTGCTGCCGCCACTGTCGCCACCTCCGCTGCTACCACCGTAGCTGCCGCCAGTGCTACCATCACTACCGTACCGGCGGCGGCTGTTGTGCACGTTGTGTTTAACTTTAAAAAGTTGTTAGTTGTTGTTGTTCATGTGTACATCAGGTGCCAAGTATTGTCAGTTAGTGGCATTATTTCACTTCAGACTTACACTCGTCTCACTTTTTTATCATTTTAAAGTTTATCATGATAGTGCAGGACGGCAGGAGTTACTTATCAATGCTGCAGATGTAGGTATAATTTTGTACATTCACTGTATGGCATAGAGTAATTTGAATAGTTCTCCAATCAGTTAGAATGGTGGCACCATGTTTGGATATGGATAGAATAAATTTCTGTGTATATTGTAGCTTGTAGTTGAGACTTGAAGTTGTTGTAAAAATGTCTGAAGGCAGCCTGTGCACGCTGAGCCTGAGCCTGAGCCCGAGGGAACATGATTGTATTTGTGCTCTCCTCTGCTACTGCTGCTGCTGCTGCTGCTGCTGCTGCTCTAGGATTTGCATTCGGAGTTCGTCAAGATGAACACGTTGTGCATGATGTTCATCTACCTCCTTGGGCTAACAACAACGCAAGAACGTTCATATTGAAACACAGACAGGCAAGTGACATTGTTCTGCTGCATTTCAAGTGACCGGTCAATCTCTTTCTTCACCTCCTGTCCATCTCTTTTTGTCAGTATATCTGTCCGTTGTGTAGCTACTCTCCTCTCCAGTTCTCCAGTTCTGGCCAATCAAGTTTGATCTCATGAGTAAAGTAGCGCCGCATTTGAGTGCAAGGGCTGGTATTCTTGTTGGAAAGGCTGGTATTCTTGTTGGAAAGGCTGGTATTCTTGTTGGAAAGGCTGGTATTCTTGTTGGAAAGGCTGGTATTCTTGTTGGAAAGGCTGGTATTCTTGTTGGAAAGGCTGGTATTCTTGTTGGAAAGGCTGGTATTCTTGTTGGAAAGGCTGGTATTCTTGTTGGAAAGGCTGGTATTCTTGTTGGAAAGGCTGGTATTCTTGTTGGAAAGGCTGGTATTCTTGTTGGAAAGGCTGGTATTCTTGTTGGAAGGGCTGGTATTCTTGTTGGAAAGGCTGGTATTCTTGTTGGAAAGGCTGGTATTCTTGTTGGAAAGGCTGGTATTCTTGTTGGAAAGGCTGGTATTCTTGTTGGAAAGGCTGGTATTCTTGTTGGAAAGGCTGGTATTCTTGTTGGA